CATACACACACACACATACACACACATACACACACATACACACACATACACACACATACACACACACACACACACACACACACACACAGGACACTCGTTCTCCACGACTGGAGATACACTACATATTTGGGGCTCTGGGGGGAGAGGAAAAAAGTATAGCTTCCTCATTCATAATACCACAACTTTTCACCTTCTTTTTTTCTGTATCTGACATTTAAGCAACAATATTTATACTAAGAAATAGAATTCACAATTTCACAATTTCGTGATTTCTGGTGTGTGTGTGTGTGTGTTTGTTCCAAATGTTAACGCAGCACTGTTTGTCTGTGGTTCTCTGCTCATCCTATAGAATTATGTCTGTTTCATTCTGTAAAAGGATTCATCAATATAATTCTAGACTAGAAGGAGGACGATAGATGTTTGATAGGAAAGAAGGAGAGATAAGGACGATAGATGTTTCATAGGAAAGAAAGAGGAGAGATAAGGACGACAGATGTTTGATAGGAAAGGAGGAGAGATAAGGGCGATGATGTTTGATAGGAAAGAAGGAGGAAAGATAAGGACGATAGATGTTTGATAGGAAAGAAGGAGGAGAGATAAGGACGATAGATGTTTGATAGGAAATAAGGAGGAGAGATAAGAACGATATATGTTTGATAGGAAAGCAGGGGGAGAGATAAAGACGATAGATGTTGGATAGGAAAGAAGGAGGAGAGATAACGACGATTGACATGGGGTGGGTGGGGGTCTATTTAAAAAAAACTCACAAAAAACCCAAAACCAAAACAAGAAATGTACATCTAAAGAAACAACTTTACACACAATGCGGTCAAACCATCGTGGTGCTACTTAAGGTCAAACATTTTTCCTCAACTGTCAGACATATAAACTCTCCATCTTTTGCACCATGGCTAGTATCAGTTTGTCTTAACAGGCCAATAATATTTTTGTAAATACCCGTTAGCTGCATTCTAGAAATTTCCGTAATTTAATAAATATGCCTACCTATTAAAACTCCCAGTGGGTGGTTCCTACAGATTTTATAGAACTCGTGGTCTTGTGACAAATTCCTGCATGTGGTTGAATGACGCATCTGATGTGATATGTACATTTTGTCAGCTTTACTTCTCTTTTCATATTGAATTTTAATCAGAGTAAAATAATTTAATTTTTATGTATACCTGCATGTGTTTTTTACCGCTTTTAAATACAAGTCCGTCTTTTAAAAAAAAAAATTTCTAATTGTGCTTATTGGATGACTGCTTTGAGAACTTGTAAAACAATCAACAACAATTATTCACTATAAAATGAATTTCTTGTATGAAGTTTTGCCACTAAAAAGGAACATTGGTGAACTGTGACGTAGGCCACATGTGTGTGAGAAGCGCAAAGTGCGGTGAACACTACCATTTTCCTCGTGACGGAGATTTATAAAACTTTATACCAACTTATGAAGAAAAGATTTGTTTATTCTAGCCTCAATTTATGACGAAAAATGTGATTGAGTTAAGACATAATGATGCAAACTGCTGTGCAATTTAAAGATATATTTGGGGATAAGTTGCGCCAGGCATTTTTGACCGCCCTATAAAATAAAACTTATTCTGATCTCTCTGAGAAGCTTTCCCTGAAGTGTCACTGTATAAGACGGTCACCTTTCTCCACGACAGTGTATGACCGTGCTAGAAGCTGGTCGTCTTTGACAGTTTTTGCACTTCCGGGGCTCTCCGTTCACTAGAAGAGTCGGGGGGCTTTCGTGGCCCAGAGGTCAAGGTGTTCGCCTCTCATTCAAAGGTCCCGGGTTCGAATCCAGGTAAAGAGTAAAGTTTTTACCGCATCTGATCCGCACATTGGGGATTGCCTTGTTAGTGAGACAACTTCCTGGACCTTCGACATATTGAGGTATACGAATCCAGGCAGCCACGGACAATTTGTCTTCTCTAAAATTGTCTCCTTTCACATCCTTTCCTGCTCTCTAGCAATGTTCTGTCGTCTGCTTTCGTCTCCACTTTCTGCCCCC